TCTGGACAACAGAGCTGTGCACAGACTGACGGTACTCTTTTAACAGAATATTATAACACAGAATAACTGTAAAATGATCAGATTGTATTGTGAATATCTGAACTTAGCATTAACAGTGACAGTGTGTTGTAGGATATATGCAGTGAGGATTAAAAATGAGTTTTGATGTTCTCTGTTAGGATCTAGCGCTCCTGAGGCTCCCGAAGAAAAAAATAAGTTTTGATTTTCATTTGTTTCTCCTAACTTGTAATTCATATCTATATACGACATGATTTCTGTGCAGGTAAAATAAATACAAATAAAAAAATGAAGGCATAAATTCAAGAAATAAATTCTTTTTATTTCATATTTAGCTGGAAATTGTATGTACAAAGACTCTTTAGATGTTACTGTAACAATAACCTCTGGGATTTCATATATGCCAGCGTCTTGTTTTACTCCCACGGCTAACAAAGCCATAAATGATAACGTGGGAAATGAGAATAATTGACTCTGAAGCTGCTTAACACAATAATGACACCTTGTGGTTATAATGACACGTCTGTGAAACAGCCACTTAGACGTTACTTCAAATCCATGTTATCATTCTGAACTATCATTTCTTTGTTTAGGAAACCCTCAAATAACACGTTTACTGCATGCGTGGGGAAAAAAACGTAAAGTTAAAACAAAAACCAACAGCCTATACTATAAAATAGGTAACCATAATACATTAAGATAAGCACGAATGCATTTCTACTCATTTAAGCATTGTACATTAGTTTATTGAACTTTTTAAGTGTATGAATGTAAAAAGACACAGAAAAATATAAAAAGTCGCATAAATTTAAAGAAAATGAAAGTCTAGCATAGTGTATTAAAATATTATTACATACACACATAACAAAGGAACACTTTGATGATTCTTTTTAGACATTCTGTTGATTTTAAGTTTGTGACTTGTGGTATTAGTAGATTTTTTAATAGCCTATCTTTATTATGGTGAACTCCAACACACAGTAAGTAATTTTGCAAGTACATGTGAACTTACAGCCCTAACCTAACAGTCCATTAACACCGTAGCTACTTGCAGTCGGTAGAATGTCTAAACAGTACCATAAAAATGAGGTTTAACCAACAAAAAAAATATTAATAAACATTTTTATCCACATAAGGGGTTATAAATTATACAGGTATACAAATATTATTTCAGATATCTGACCCTGGACCACAAAATATGCCATAAATGTAATTTTTTTGAAATTGACATTTATGTATTCGTTGAAATTCGAATAAACAAGCTTTCCAGTCATACTTTGTCAGGATTGGACAATGTTTGTAATTTTTATTGACATCTGGAATCTGAGTGTTTAAAAATAGTCCAAATACTGAGAAAATCATGGTGAAAGACGTCCAAATTAAATTCTTAGCTATCTAAAAATTGAGTTTTTATTTATTTATGGAAGGAAATTTACAAAATATCTTCATGGAACTTAATGTTTACTTAATATTATGATGATTTTTGACATAAAACCAAAAATAAAATCTAAATATACCATCGCCAAAATATACCTGTGCAACAGAAAACTGGTTTTGTGGTCCAGGGTCACATTTAAATAAAGTAGATTTATTTTTCCGGTCTCGTTGGGTCTCCGATGACTGAGAAACATCCAGCACAGAAACGGGCCGGCTTCTTCGTGTTAGCAGAATTGGCTCTCTTCAGACGAAATCCAAGACTGCTGGCTCTCACGTCCTATAAAAATCAGCATATCTGCAAATCAATATTCCACGTCTAAACAAATAGGAGCGATTGTGTCACATCATAAACACACATCTCACCTGCAAGTCTCCTAGTGTTACACTTTCTGACGGCTGTGGATCTGATGACCGGATCAGTAGAGGAGTCTGGAAAATGAACAAACATTTGTGACCCTGGACCACAAAACTTGTCTTACGTACACATGCATGGCTCAAATTTATACATTTTGTTTTCATGCTGGCAATAATTAAAATATTACATTACATAAAACATTTTGTCTACATTTCCTACTTTATATCAAAATGTAAGATTGATTAGTATGCATTGCTAATCACTTTATTTCATCAGATTTTCTCAGTATTTAGATTTTTTAACCCTCAGATTTCAGAAGTGAAATGGTTGTATCTCAGCCTAACATCTTCCTATAATAACAATGTACACGCATTATTCATGTATAATGATGTATAATTCACAATTTCACATGTATGACAATTTTTTGGGTCACATGTTAGTTGATTTTTTTAAAAACTAGATCATTATATCTGCAGAAGTGGTTCCACTTCATTATATTAAATATATATTATAATTATATTAAAATATTATTGCATAAACAGATAATAAAGTAACTTTAACGATTCTTTTTTTAGCTTTCTGTTGATTATAAGCAAGTTTGCGACTAGCAGTATTAGACTGTTTAATATCTTTCTTATGGTGGTCTCCTGACACACTATAAATAATTTCAAAAGTGCATGTAAACAACCCTAACCTAACAGTTCATTCTTTCCTTGTAATTAGTCGAATGAGTTAAAAGGTTATTTATTCAGCTTATAATGATGTATAATTTACAATTTCAAACTTACAACTGTTTTTTTCAAGACACATATTAGATAATCTTGTAAAAAGAAAACTAGTTTGAAGTTTTAAAAGTAATCATCATACCTTCTGGAGTGGTTCCATTGGAAAAGCATCTGAGAAGTGCAGCACAGCAATGAAGAGCAACAGCAGCAAAGCTCTATGCATGTTTCCAGTCCTCCTTCAGTCTCTAACTAACGCTGAAAAGCGAACATCAATTCAATTAAAACCCCACTCAATGGGTGTGACCCAAAATTGTTGTGCGTCACCGAGAAAATTACAGCACAGGGAGGCATCGTGTCCATAAAATCAATGTTTATTTAAGACATTTAGGAATTAAGTGAAAAAAAAGAATGTTTTAGTCCCACACAGAAAAGATCTCAGTTAATGCCGTAAAGTTCCTTCAGGTTGCATGGAAATGTTTTAAAAGGCAACAGGGTCATCCAACTCGATATGTGTCCCTGTTGAGCTCTCCCAACTCAATCGGAGGTAGCCGAGGAATATATTCAAACACATACAGAGATGTGATCCATATATATATTAGATATCTGTAAAACGTAAACTTGATTCTCATTTATGTGATTTATAAACTATGTGCAATGCTATAAAAAGAGGACAAGTTACAGCTATTAATAAATTAAAAGTAGAAATACTGCATCACGATTAAAAGTGAATACAAAATAAATCATCAAATCAGCAGAGAAATGCAGTATTAGTAATATGAGAAGAAAAGTATAAACCGTGTTAAAAATTCACAGTCGGTAATTCTAATTTCAGATGTGTGTGTGTGTGTGTTTGTTTTAATTACAAGCAGTTGGAAACGCATATGTCTATACAGTTATAAAACATTATTTGTACTATTTTTGCACAAAAGCATGGGCGAACTTTTATCTAAAGGGATAGTTCACCCAAAAATGAACATTCTGTCATCATTTACTCATGTTGGAAAAAAAAAAAATATTATGAAAGTCAATGGTTACCGGTTTCCAACATTCTTCTAAATATCTTAGTGTTCAACAGAACTAAAACAAGTTAGTTTGGAACGAGTCAAAGGTGCGTAAATGATGGCAGATTTTTCATTTTTGGGTGAGCAACCCCTTTAAATCTCCAACATTCATACTTCTATAAGAGAATGTGATGATACTATAGTAAATAATCCTGAAGGCTTTCGCTCTTTTTGGTATTTGTGCTAATTCTCAGATAAAAATGAACAAGAAAAGGTGAAAAGAGTTCGGATTAGATGGGTACATCACATCCCATCCATCCAGTATACAGAGCTGGTGATCGGTAATCCCAAAAGATCAACACATTAAACCGTTTCTTTCAACAACAACAACAACAAAGATTCAAGTTATTAATGTGATGAAATCAAAGTACAGTCCCGTGTAAAGTGGAAATTCATGGCACATCTAGCAGATGTTTTGCACAGACACATAAGAGCGCAGTCGCCCACGATAGTTTTCATAATGTTCTGCAAAACAGCAGCATTCATTATGAGCGATATCCCAGATCAAATGATTAGTACATGATAAAATAGAATTAAAAACAGCTTTAGCCTTACTAAATCATACCTACTTGATTAGACTCTCCCAATTATGGCATGGGTTAACAGTGGTTAACTTTCACCTGTCTAGAAATCTCTATTGGCTTCCAGTTTAGAGGAATAAAATGGATAATCCCAGACATTTGATGCTTTAAAGGGACAATTCACCATTTAAATTGACTATTTACTCACACAAAAGTGTTTTCAGACTCTTTTTTTTTTTTTTTAAAGAAACCAGAAGTAACTTCCATAGTAGAGAACAAATAATAAAGTAGTTAATGGTTTCCTACATTCTTCAAAATATCTACTTTTGGATTAAATTCAAATATGTTAAACATGTAGAAGCTAAATAAACAACCAAATTCTAATTTTTAGGGTGAACTATCCCTTTTGTTCAGTGTTTCCCAACCCTGTTCCTAAAGGCACACCAACAGTACACATTTTACACATCAACTCAGCAGAACAATAGAGGAGACTACAAAACCTGAAGCGAATGGGTCAGATAAGGGAGACACTCAAAATATGTGCTGTTGGTGCGCCTCCAGGAACAGGGTTGGGAAACACTGCTTTACCGGGCCCACGTCTATTAACAGTGCAAAAGTGTGTGTGTTTTTTTTTTTTTTATCAAAAGTGTGTCCTGGTTCTTCTCAATCTTTTTATGTATGAATGAATTCTACATTTGGTCGTCATTAAAAAACAAACAAACATGATTATGTCACCATTAAAGGTGTACTGGCATATCTGCTTCAGGCTTTTCCCAGTACAAAAACCTGATGATTAGTACCTCTGATGCAAACATGAGAACCAAGAACCATGAATGCAGGTTGTTGGATCACTCAGTACAAAAACCTTTTTTTTTCTTTAATATATAATAATCAAAATGTCCATTTAGGCTGAGGGAGACTGTGGCATTAGGCGGGCTGTAAGGGTATACAACCTACCCCGACCCCACCTTCATGGCAAACCATCGGTGCCATAAACGTCCAGCGGTTGGTTTCCTGGTCGTACATTTCCAAAGAGCTAAGATTGGACTGTCCGTCATAACCTCCCACTGCGTAGAGTCGACCGCAGTTGGCCACTAGAGAAATGCGGCTGCGGCGAGTGTTCATGGCCACTAGGTGGCTCCACTGATCCGCTACAGAGCTGTAAACTTCTGCTCCACTGAGAAATGCAGAGCCGTCATATCCTCCTGCTACATACAGGTTGCTGCCCAGAGCTGCAGCGCCGTGCCGACAGCGCTTGTTTATCATGGGAGCAACAGGGTGCCATGATGCTGTATGCTGGTTGTAGTACTCCATCTAGTGGAAGAAACATGAAACCACAAGGCTGTGATGTAGAGTTGAAGTCAAAATGATTGGCTCTTGTGTGATTTATTTTTCCTTGTTTAACAGAGCAAGGAATTTTTCACAGTATTTCCTATAATATTTTTTCTAGCGGAGACTTATTTTTTATTTCAGCTAGAATAAAAGCCGTTTTTAACTATTAGCCCTCGTAAGCAATATTTATTTTCCATTCTCTAAAGCAGGTGTTCCTAAACATTTTTTACCCCATGACCCTTAAATAACAATGCAAGTGACTCACGACCCCCAAATTCCTCAGAGGTGGTTATAAATATACAAACGTTGTGCACACAACAATAGGCCTATATAAACACGAGCAGATTGACAACACAAAAAAATGCAACAGTCTTACAACCACATCATTTTTATAGTTATTCATTAATTTGTTTATTATAATATTAACCTCGCCTAAAAAAAGACTTGTTGGCACAATGTTTTCGGCACAAGTCTATTCTTGGTTTAATTTTGGAGACCGCCACTCAGAGATCGTCCTCAATGTTCAGTGGCCTGTATTTATTTTTAATGTATTTGATTGCAATAAAGGTGTTAGAAAGTTCAACCTGGCACAATAAAATCTGCTGTAGCTGACGCTATTGCGGTGTTGTTAATCTAACGTAAATACAACTATCATATAAAAGAAATAATTTAAAGACTGATGGCTTTTTATTTTGCATGTTGTTGTTTTTTTTTACTATTAAAAACTACTATCTTTATCTTCTGTGGGTTATGGCTTAAATATTGTGATTCTAATAGTTTAATAAAATTTATTTGACTTTTGGAAAATCACCAAGTGACCCAGTCATTGTACCGCGACCCCTACTTTGGTAACCACTGGTCTACAAATCAAACCATAATTATACAATAGTTTGCCTAATTACCCTAACTTGCCTAATTAACCTAGTTAAGCCTTTAAATGTCACTTTAAGCTGTGTAGAAGTGTCTTGAAAAATATCAAATATCATTATTTGATTTATTATTAATTAATTAATATATATAATATTATTTACTGTCGTCATGGCAAAGTAAAAAAAAATCAGTTATCAGAGATGAGTTATTAAAACTTATGTGTAGAAATGTGTTGGAAAACATCTTTGTTAAACAGAAATTAAGGAAAAATAATTCAGGAGAGCTAATGATTCTGACTTCTACTGTAGATTTGGGAAGCATCTAGAATTGATATGCTGGAAATTTGTATGATTATGTTCACTAACCGTGTTGAAGATCTGAAGACCATCATGACCACCTGAAACATATATTCTGCCTTCAAATACAGTGACACCGGCAGCACTGCGGCTTGCGCTCATTTCTGTGACTATCGTCCATCTGGTAACAAAAGGAAAAAAAACACACTTAAGATCAGACATTGTGTAATTACAAGAAAAGTTACAATAGTTGTTAACCGACGATAAATGCAAAGTTATCAGTTAGCCTAATAATCAGATGATGTAATAAGGTTGCCACGGGACAGTATCAGTAAAAGAATTATCCATGACAATAGAGAACACATCTTTAAACAACTAGTGTATTAAAGTCCCCATGAAATCAAAATTAACCATATGATTTAGTTAGCTCACATTGCTAGTTTTGTGGTGAACAATTCATCTGTGCGTGTCCTTAAGAAAAAAAATGGTTTCTCTTCTAATCTTTAATTGGAATCTGAATCTTTTCAGTAAAATTGTCAGGTTATGTATATCTTAGGAATTGGGCGTGGATAACATATCCTAGTCTCTAGGAACTGCATCACAATATAAAAAAATTATAATAATGGTCTCAGCTTCCGGTTCATGGGGACTTTAATTAAATAATGAACATAAACATGTAATAAATGACCATTACTTCCAGTAATTATTAATGTAATCAGCCAGTAATAAAATGAGTAATTTATTTTGTTATTGAACATTTTTACTTATAATATTAAATATCTACACATTAACAAATTCAATTAAAACACATTTATTCAAAGTAATTAAGCAGTAAAATAAATAAAATAAAAAGCAAAAAAAATTAAAAGCAACTAGGGCTGCAACTAACGATTATTTTAACAATCGATTAATCTGTTGATTATTTTTTCGATGAATCGGATAATAAAAAAAAGAAAAGCATTCATTTCCCACCCTTTATTCAAAAACAGAACTAAAACCTTTAAACAGTGCACAAACATTGTCCTTAAACATCCCTGAGCTGTTATAATAATAAAATAAAAAACTTAGTGGTTTTGTTTTGTTTTCAACCCAAATATCTAAAAAAAATCTTAAATTAAGTTACATACTAGACACATGAAATAGCATAAGAAATTATGTCTTGAATTCTGAAAAAAACCCACCTCAAACTTAAGTGATTGTTTGCTTAAAACAAGCAAAAATGTTTGCCAATGGGGCAAGAAAAATAATCTCAATGAGATATAATCTCAAACAGAAGTTAAGCATTACTTTATTTTCTCATGCCACTTTTTGTCTAGTCTTGATTTAAGATTTTTTAATAATTCTGCTGACATCAGTGCACGACAGAGGCAGAGTGCGTTCACTCCGCTCCACGCTCAACTAATGTTTTTTCAATATTCAAACATCTCCTCATCACGCAAAACAACAAATGGATTATGAAATTCAATGCCAACGCTTTTAGTAATTGATTTTAATTGATTTAGTCGATTTGTTGTTGCAGCCCTAAAAGCAACACATGAAATAATATAGACAACAGTTTCATCAATGACATAACTGCCCCACGCTATATCAGGCTGCATTTACACAATTACAAAGTAGTGCTTGTATATTAATGACTATTATTATTATTATTATTAATATTTTAATATTCTACGATAGTCTCTTTTGAACTTAATATTTACAACTATAATTGGAGGTGTTCCTGAATCTATTTTTATTGTCGTCACCTCATATTTTACTATTCCATCAATCGCCAAGATAAAACTTGTGGGAGGGGGGTGGTATAGGGAAGGTTTAAACAATTAACTGAATTAATTAAAACTGTATTTTTGTATAAAAGTGTTTTATACAGCTTTATACATTAATATTTATCATTTAGGATTAACAGAGCCTTTTCAGCAAAATATATATAACTGGCTTTGGATTTGATTTTAATATTGTGCTTTAAAGTTCCTCCAAGTTTATTTTTAATATTAGCATCCCAAACGTTACTATTCCGTCAATTGCCAAAATAATCAATTAACAAAATACATGATAATGAGAGGCCTACATTAATCTAGTCTTTCTCTATATGTTAAAGTTATGTCTTACCTGTCCGTCTCTGGAGCATAGCACTCAACTGAATTCAGAGAGGATTTGCCATCGTATCCACCACAGACGTATATATGGCCATCAACTACAACAGTTCCCATTGCACTAATGCAGGAAAAAAAAATAAGAGATGTAGATCACATGTAAATCCAAATATTTGCAAATCCTTCAATTATTTCTTAATAAATAGCTAACCAGCTTTTCAAAGGGTTTCATACCTGCGTTGAGTGTTCATGCTAGCGACTTTAGTCCACGTGTCAGTGTCTGGGTTGTAAACCTCCACAGTTCTCAGCCGCGACTGACCATCATAACCACCAATGGCATAAAGTAGCCCATTCACAACTGCGACGCCCACACGACTGCGCGCTGTGCTCATTGGCTGGCATCGCTCCCAGCAGTTTCCAATAGGATCAAACACCTCCACAACATTCAACGAGTCACCTGTGCAAAAGACACCGTCTCAGTAAAAGCTAATACTTAACAGTTATCAACACATGAAGGTTTCCAAGAATGTATTGACAGTGACATGTTTTAGTGCACTTTTTTAAATGTTGCCTTGAACCAAGAAGTAAATGCAACATTAAGGGCTTTTGTACTGGGAAGTAACAGGAACTCAGTTATAGGAACTACCCAGTAGGCAATTTAAACATAGATTCAATAAACTGACAATTTTTAGTGCTACATATCATAAAAAAATAACTTGGACAACAGGTGAACACTTACTATATAAAAGGTAAACTGGTTTTCTGCATTTAAAAGGTCACGTATTCACCCAATCACCATACACTTACATTACTATAGTTCCTATTGTGCTAGATTAGACCCTGCTCTGAAGTTGGAGCTAAATTAATTCCCTCATGTGGTATTTCTCTAAAACTAAAATCCGTTCCAAATCCTAAGAGGTAAACAGCCCACATCGTATTAATGCCAAGTAGATTCAGTTCTACTAACCAATAAAAAAATCCTACAATTGGAGGAATTTGCCACTGGAAGAACTTAAGTTTGTGTCAATTTAAAAGCAAATGATCCACAGGTTTAAAAATGCACCAAAGTGACTGTGTGAAGCAGGAGCATCTGACTGTACCAGCACTGTTGAGACCCCCAACTGCATAGATTAAACCAGCGATGGATGTGCAACATCTCTGTCGGGTCTTATAAGCTGGAAGATGTGGCCGTCGCTCCGGCATCAAATGGTAATCTTTCGCCTCATCGACAAGATCCCTGTCAGAGCAGAAGGTAAATACAAGGTCATGGATTATTTTCAGACACGTTCCAAAAATATGTAGTTTAGGCTTCATAATATATGTTCATAATGAAGGCCACTATAATTTCTGCTTGTTTTATACTTATTTTTTCTTTTCTGTTCCCAATACAGTTAGATGAAATTACATAAAATCACATGATGTAATGTAAACAAATGCAACTTACAGTCAGATGAGACTTATTTGCTTTAAATTACAATGGAATCTTAAGAGATACTGTATCAAAAACATGTTAACAGACATTAAATGCACTACATCATGTGAAATCATTTTGTGTATTAAAGGTAAACAATACATTTTCTGTAAATGTCACATAAGCCATATAAAGACTGTAACGTAATTAATGATTGATGGTTTTAAATAAACCAACCCCAATGGCATCTCATTTGGTTCATGTTGCTGCTTTTCAGAGCATGATGCTTATTTAGAGTTTTTGGGATAAAACAACTCAGTTGATTGAGTTAATAAAACAGAGGTACAGGTGTCAATATTTTGGAATGTGGCTTATATCCATGATTAAATGTTCGATTTTAAGTTTAATATGGCTTGTTCCTATCTGCTGTGGCAAGATCTGCTAATGTATGTGGCCATGGTGTTACATCTGACTGAAAACAGTGTATGTTCTCCCAAAAGGTTCATTTATGGGGTGCAAGCTATCTGAAAGAAACTTGCCTGCATTTGTGGCAGCAGCGTACAAGCTCGTCCTGCTGGACTCGGTCTGCCAGAAACTGAGGCCGACATAAAGGTAGTCTGATTTTAGACAGTAATTCCGGTAAACGTGACTCCCGATCATCACGTTCGTGTCGCACCCAAGCCAACACTGCCTCAAACACCTACAATCAACAAACAAGATCAAGATTACTCTAATCTTATAGTAATGCTCAGATATATAGTAGACCCTTTTCACATTTTCGGGTTTCTCAGCAGCAGAAGTCGTCATAGTTGGGAAAACTTAGGGCACAGTGAACGGGAGAATACAATAATTATTTTTTTACAATCTTATTTGCTCAAATAACAAAAGAAAAACTCCACGATGAAGGAAAGAAATCATGTGAGACTGATGACGGTAGCCAGAGGAAACAACGTCAAATTTACTGTCCGTCCCATAGACGCTGCATTAGAAACGCCTCGCACAAGCGGTAATTTGTTTATTGTAATTTGAAGCGGAGATGATATACTTCACACATAAATACATATGTTCATGTTTTTTTTTTATCTAAATATTTAAAAACTTTAGGGATTTAGGATGCTGATGAGCTGTAAAAGTGTCATAGCAGGCTTGTGAAAAGGGTCCAAATTATGTGTTCAAAATCCATTCATTTAGCGACATTCTGTTTGTTCATTTGCCCCTCTGTGTGTCTCATCACGATGTGTTGGACCATGTTAAATTTGTCCAAAGACTCTGACCTGCTCTTCTGCTTGGACGTTGAGCTCGTCGCAGCCCACCAGCTCAAGCACCTCCTCCGGCCGAAGGGCCAGAAACTCCTCAGACACAGACACCTCCACAAAGTGCTGGTGAACGAAGCTGTTGGCTGCATCGTATAGTGTGGTACACATCATAGTCTCAGCAAACTGCCGCACACCGAGACAATTCTTGGGATGCAACCTGCAAATCAGCAGCACATCAATAAATGCTCTGTAAAAAAGTGACTCTTGATCACAAAACGAGAATTTTGCACAACTAACATGGATAAACTACAATTTAAATGTGTCCGCTGTGAAGCTGATTTCAAGACTTCAAAATTTTAAGCGACTATGATAGTTCTCCCCGTGTTCACGTGGGTTTCCTCCAGATGCTCTGGTTTCCCCCACAAGTCCAAAGGCATGCGGTACAGGTGAATTGGGTAGGCTAAATTGTCTGTAGTGTATGTGTGTAAATGAGTGTGTATGGATGTTTCCCAGTGATGGGTTGCAGCTGGAAGGCCATCCGTTGCGTAAAACATATGTTGGATAAGTTGTCAGTTCATTCCGCTGTGGCAACCCCAGATTAAAAAAAGATGCGCTAAAGGTGAATTGGGTAAGCTAAATCAGCCATGGTGTATGTGTGTATGTCCTGGTCCTCCAGGTTGGAGGTTGAGCATTAGGCTAACGACCCACCTCACAAAAATGAGATGTTATGAAACACCAACATGGTGCAGCTGAATATCAACTTCGATATAAACGGCCCTGGGAGTAAATGACTACGATATGAAATCTTAATCCTACAAATACAAAAAATACTACACTAAATACTTCCACATACACATATCCAATATTTCCCATGAAGTTTTATGCTTGGATATTTAAAGCAAGGAACAAAAAACTTAACTTTTAAATTTTGTCAGCTGTCTCAAATAATTCAAAAAAGAGATGTTTTAAGATTAGAAAGAACAGACTAACAAATCTCTTCCAGTCACATTAAAAATATATATAATTTGTGTAATGAGACTTTAAAATATTTTGAAAGATTCATTCATCCATTCATTTTCCTTTGGCTTAGCCCCTTATTTATCAGGGGTCGCCACAGCAGAATGAACCGCTTAAATTTCTAAATATTTTGGCCGAATTACACATTGATTTTTGTTTTTGATAGGATGAATGTATGATGTGCTTTCAGAAATACAATCAAATAAAAGCAACGTTTAAATACATTGTGATATGGGTGCTTTTTGTCTTTAAACCTGTGTTGACTTCATATTTGAAGTCTTTCTGCAAGTCAATTTCAATTTGGACTTAATTTATCTACCAATTTATACAAATCTAAAATCTTCCGAAATATGATATACAATATGTTTAGATCATAAGATGACTCCTGAAATGGTTTCATGAATTTGAAGACATCGTTATTATTCTGTACCTCTGTTGTAGAAAAGAGCAGCAGGCATCTTTGACGTTTTGAAGCTGCAAGAAACTGGCTCCTATCAGGAGGGCCTGGACGTTCTGTTGGTCTATGGCTATGTGTCCGTTGTAGGCAAAGTTTATAAGGGCCTCAAGTGCACTGTTTAAAGGTAAAAACAGAAATTACATGTATAGACTTACAAAGCACTCAAAACAGCTTGTCAACATATTTCAACAGTCTTTATTAGGGCTGCACAATATATTGTTTCAGCATCGATATTGAAATGTGTGAATCTGCAATAGTTAACCAGGAGCCACAAGCCCCTTTCACATGGTGATACCGCTAAATATTTGTATAAATATTATAATTTATATTAATAATATTAAATATTATATGTAATATATGTATATATGTACTAATACCAGACTGACTTTACTGGTAAATTCAAAAAAAGCGATGTTCACACAAGCAAGAACGTTCTGGAATTTTTCGTGAAAAGACCATTGAAAATACCAGTAAATTCTGACATTATTAACCAGAAATTAGCCCAAAACAGCGTTTTTATACAGCTGCACTCGCTTACAAATTATTTCAATCAATATAAAATTAGGAATTCTGTCTAAATAAGGTAATTTTGTAAAATTCTATTCATATCCAATATTACCTAATGCAATGTCAGTTTTTTCATTAGTGTGCAGCCCTAGTCTATATGAGCTATTGTGTCTTCACCTGGGATCCATGCCCTGCATGACGATCTCATCCTGTTTGCACTCCACCATATCGTTGGTGAACATGGCATGGAAATACGGAATAGAAGCAGCGAGGACTATTCTGTGAGCACTGAACTTGTGCTCTCCTACCTGCATACAGAGAGAGAGAGATTAAAATCATTATATACATACATAACACATCAATTGTCCTGTTCAATGTTGACAGAGAGACATTTTAGAACATTCTCTAAAACATTGTTAACTATGAGAATATTCCAGGGCAAAAATTAACAGAGCGGCTTTAATAAATGACCGATCTAATGTGGAAATGTTGAGCCATTAGGACAACTTCGTTTACTAAAAGCATACAATAATCCTCAGCATGAGAATTAGCGTGTATGGAGTATATGTACTATATAAGCCAGCTGTCTGTCAGCTAAGACATGAACACTGGAGGTCAGGTGAAGGAGATAAAGAGGATTACTGCTTTCTGTGACCCACATAAATGGCTGATGATGCAACAGTTAAAGCAAAGCGGCAGATCAGAGACTGAGCACGTTTCATTAGCTCAAGCTTCTCCTGATGATGCTTTAGACACCAGCATGGTAGTATATCGCCACCTTAGAATTATTAGGTTCTCTCTGACATTTTTAATCAAAATTGAGTTATTGACATATTCTTATTAAATGACAACTTATTTTTATTATGGGTTTTTTATTTTGAAGTTGTTTACATTAAGACTTTTTATTTAAAATAAGAAATGTTACACACATATTGTTTACTATGGAATGCAAAAAAATTGAAGCTCAATATCTCAAAATCATTTAAAACGCAGACAGAACCTTATAATTCCAAGGTGACGATATGTCCACTCACAAACATCATGCAGAAACAAGCATTCTCTATTTTTACACCGTTTTTTTTTTTTCATAATGATATTTGTATACAGATATGGGGGAAAATATAGGAGAGACCATCTGAAATTTGAAAATGCAGTTTTTATGGATTTACTGCCGTTATTAGGAATAGGTTTGAGTTAAATGCATAGAATAACAAATGTTTTCATTATTGGAAATCAGGGTTATACCACATATTTAATTTTATTTCATTTTAAGGTAAAACATTGGTATTTTGTTGTCTAAAAAAATGAATATGAACATAAAAGCGGCACATTTTAGGGGAAAGAAATGCTCTAATTCACAACATTTCTTACATCTGGATGAAATGCCATCAGTAATATAAAACATGCTACAATATGGCAGGGAGATATGGCAATAAGGCAATCTCAATAATTCTTTTTTCATATATACTAATAACGATATACATTTCGATATAAGTTGTTAATGCTTCCAGCTTTAAAAGAGTATCCCAACAATGATTGAAGCCACAAAGATTAGACGCTTCATTTAAAAACATTTAAAAGTATTGTTTATTAACAAAAACAGTTTACACATTACTTAGATTTTTTTAGAGATCCCAATTTTCTATTATATATTTATGATTTATACAATATAAAATATAATCGTCTGAAGAACTGTAAGCATACTGTATATACACAAACACAATATGCATAGTACACAACACATAGTACACAAACACAAATACTTAATGCATTTTCTAAAAATAAACAATTACAGAAATATTTTAATATAAATGTTTTACTTAAATAAAATTGGAAAAAAATTTCATCAATAAAACAGTTTAACAGGTAATACTACTGGTGGGAAAGTGAATCGAGCTCGCTAAACAACACTGAGTGACTGCATATCTCTAATATCAACACAATTACAGATTCTTTGCACTGATCAATATCAAGTAAAAATGTCCTGAGTTTATCATCATTATCGACATACATTTTATAACGATTTGATACGATCATTTATTGGCCCTATGTTTCAATAATTAATACCATCTATATGTTATAACTATAAATAAACTATAATAAGGTAATGTGTATTTATAAAGTGCATTTACTATGTATGGTGTACACCCAAAGTACTTCACAATCATGAGGTGGGATCTCTCCACACCACCGCCAGTGTGCAGCATCCACTTGGCTGATACGATGGCAGACACAGGGCAACAGGGCCAGTCCGCTCACCACACACCAGCTATGGGGGAGTGGAGAGACGGTGATAGAGCCAATTCGGTGGCTGGGGAGAATTGGGAGGCCATGATGGGTAAGGACCAATGGAGCAAATTTGGCCAGGACATAAGTTATACCCCTACTTTTTGCCACGGGATTTTTAATTACTTTGGTTTAACATCTCATCTTAAAGAAGGCATTCACTGACAGTATGGTGTCCCCTTCACTTTACTGGGGCATTAAGACTCGCACAGACTACAGGTTGAGCGCCCCCTGCTGGCCTCACTATCCCCACTTCTAATAGCAACCTAGCTTTCTCATGTGGTCTCCCATCCAGGTACTGACCAGGCTCAGCCCTGCTTAGCTTCAGTGAGTAACCAGTCTTGGGCTGCAGGGTGATATGGATGTTTATAATAAATAAATCACAAATAAACAATAACTATAGACATAAGTATAATGGTACATCAATCAAAATTGTGAATTTTCTTGTCTCTTATTGTTTTCAGAGATGTATATTTGTGGGCGTCAAGGTGGTGCAGCGAGTAGCACAATCGCCTCACAGCAAGAAGGTTGCTAGTTTGAGCCTCGGCTGGGTCAGTTAGCATTTCTGTGTGGAGTTTGCATGTTCTCCCCATTTTCAAGTGAGTTTCCTCTGGGTGCTCTGGTTTTCCCCCCCAAGTCCAAAGGCATGCGGTACAGGTGAATTGGGTAAGCTAAATTGTCCGTAGTGTATGTGTGTAAATGAGTGTGTATGGATATTTCCCAGTGATGGGTTGCAGCTGGAAGGCCATCCGTTGCGTAAAACATATGCTGGATAAGTTGTCATTTCATTCCGCTGTGGCAACCGCAGATTAAAAAAGAGACTAAGCCGAAAAGAAAATGAATGAATGAATGAATGAATGAATGTATATTTGCATATTTGTGCTTTAATATTTAAATTGAATGATTATGTTCTACTTATTTTTTCTCTAAGGCTCCAGAAACATTTTAGTTTTTACAATGATGTTTGTGCCTTTATTGAAATAAACTGTAACTTGACAAGAGTACAGGTTGCAGTTTAGTGAATAAAGCAGAGCCCACTAGGAGTCTCAGGCAGCACACCTTTATTCATTTGCATCAATCTGTGTGAAGGGGGATTGTTTGACAATGGTGTCAACTGTATGTGAAACTATTCAAAAATGTAATAGCAAAACCTATTAATACAACAAAACAATCTTTAAAATGAGCAGAAACAGCTAAATATGTATAAATGAAAATGACAATTTACATTTGAACTGCATTGCCAGCAAATAAAATAAAAAATAATGACCTGTCAAAAAATTAAAGAATGAGGGAATTTGAAAGTATTATATCCAGACCTAAAAAAAAAACATGGAAAAGTTTTAGATTTAAAAAATTGAAATATATAATGGATATTTAAAATAAATCAAGCACCTTATAATGTATTGCATGCCCTGTTAATGCTGGTGTTTTGTATTAAACTCAGCTTGACAAAATAGTTAAATTTTAATCATATCAGGATGTACTGTTCCTCTTCCGTGCTGTACTACTTTATAATACACAGCTCATATTCAGTTGATGATGATGTTAGCAGAACATGCTAACTAAATTACAACAGAATAATAATTGCTCGCTTTCGAAACGAATATAAAATATACAACGATACATTTCATGCGATATATACAAGACACATAAGATAACGACCTGACAACCTAAACATATTAACTAGCAGTGTAGCCTCTCCCATGCTGACAGCCCAGTGCTACTAGATTAGCATTTTAGGCAGCAAATTAGCCCAAAGAAAGAAAAGCACAGTACTTTTAGCGTAACGTCACACAGTTTCCCTTGCCGTCGGATCTCCTCCATCACTGCATATCCACGAGCGGGCAAATCGGCGACAGAAAAATGCATCAAATCTTCTAATTCTTCAAATATCGTGTCACCCATCGTCATTGATGGACTGGAAACGACACTTTTTGTCCAAATCGAGACGCCGTAGCTCGAGCTGTATTATTATAACTGAGTGCCCTCCACCGGCGGTGTCAGTTCCCTTCTCTATCATCCAGGGGTCATATATGCTTCTTAAATCTGATTTATGTGGACGTCCTGGTCTTATTCGTGTGATTCAGAGCTACATCACAGCTTAGGTTGGGTTCAGTTCACGTGACAGAGCTTTTGATGTCTGTCTGTGAGAATAGACGACAGTCCTTCACAGCCATGTGACAGTGAGACACTGCTTGAATTCATAATGCACTGTTATGTATATGGCATATAAAGACAGTTCAGTCTCTTTATGAGCAAAAGCTTTCAGGCAAAGTTGTTAAGTTATAGAGTTTAGACTGTAGAATGGAGTTCTTTGTTATTCATACAAGGTCATTGTCATTTCTATTTAAAAATAAGTTCTGTTTATTAATTTTATTTGATCATTTTTATGCATATTCAGTTGAATCATTAATTTTCTTGTTGGCTTTGGGTCCCTTTATTAATCTGGGTTAGGGTTAGGAATGAACAGCAGAATGAACCGCCAACTTATCCAGCAGGTTTTTACGCAGCGGATGCCCTTCCAGCCACAACCCATCTCTGGGAAACATCCACACATACACACACACACACACATACTACAGACAATATAACCTACCCAATTCACCTGTACCACATGTCTTTGGCTATGGTCTTTGGACTGTGGGGTAAACCCGAGCACCTGGAGGAAACCCACACGAATGCAGGGAGAACATTCAAACTCCACACAGAAACGCCAACTGAGCCAAGGTTCGAACCAGCGACCTTCTTGCTGTGAGGCAACACCACTGCGCCACTACTTCGCCCTCAGTTGAATCAATGTCAAATTATTACATTTGTATGTAAGTCTATTTTTGAAGAATTAAAAAAAAAATTAGGTTATGATTTCTAATAAAATATATAACATATACAGTGCTCAGCATATTAGAGTACACTCCATTTTAAAATTGAATATTTTTATCCATTTCTCAGTAAATATATGCAGTGTATTTTGGTGCATTTAAACAAAACATATGTAATAAACAGATATATTTATTAAAATAATATTTTAGTAGCCAAGTATTATTTAGAAATTCAGAGATAATACAATTAAATAAAAAATATATATTGCAAAATAATTTACAACCTGCAAAATTTAAACTAATTTTTTTTTCGATTATTATTATTATTACTTTTGCTTCTCTTGATTTTTCCTCCTTTTTAAATTTGTATTTAATATTTTTATAACATAAATTCAGGTGTACTTCTTTTTAGACCATTATCATAAGTTATTTTGTTAGATAATCCCCAGATTTGGCTTTGCTACTGACTAATCTAATGCATTTACACAGATATAATATTGTAAAGCTTCCTATTAAAATATGAATTTAAAAGAGAGATTTGTGAGAAGTCTATTTATATATGCTGAGCACTGTAACTATAAATCACACTTAAGCAGACTGCTTAGCAATAAGAGAAAGGTAGAGTTTTCCACTGTCAGGCTATCATGTTTTTGCCAACCTATGGAAAACAAAACTTTCTTTAAAAACTTCCTTAAATGTCCGACAGACTACTACAGGGACAATCACTCCTATGTCCTCATTGTGATTTGTGTCAAAGCAGCCTAAAGCAAAAAGCTAGTTGTGAAAAGCTGGTAAAATCTACAGTAAAACTCTTAATTTCTTCAATACCTCCAGGAACACCATTAACTGTTCCAGTTCATTTCATCATACCATTATGTGTCTAATTTGGCTATGATCAGGTCCATAGCCAGCCTGGTGAAAAGGGTGGTACTTTTTGCTTTAAAAAAAAGACCTTTTTGCAGTTCTTCACCTCATTTTCTTTTTAATTATGAGGTTTAAATTTCCATTTCAGTGACATTTTCTTTGCTGGATTAGCCAGCTGGGTGGTTATCCTAACCACACTTTTTGATGTACCAAAACATTTCCTAAAGATTTAGAATGAAGAAATTAAATACACATTTATTACATCATATATCATTGGGGGGAAAAATAAAGGAATCTGTAAAAGTTTTAAATTAAAAACTTTGACATTTAATTATAAATTTAAATACCAAACTGGCCAGCACATTTTCCTCAGCCACACATGATTCATTCTTGATGTTAAAGCCTTCTTTGATTGATTATTTCCACAATTTATGATGGCAGTCAAAATAAGAAAAGTGAGCTTATGTGTGGGACAAATTCTGGACCTTTTCAGTGAGGGGTGGGTCTTTCAGACCACCTGAACCCCCCTGGCTACAAGTTAGAACACTAAAATAAGAAAGGCTTTATTGTGTACTGATAGTTTGTAAAAGGCCTCTTTTTGTTCAGGTAAAAATGAATTAACAATAAAAAACTAAAGAAAAATAATTTGTCATGTCAAATATTAGGCGACGCGGTGGTATAGTTGGTTGCTCGATCGCCTCACAGCAAGAAGGTAGCTGCTTTGAGCCTCGGCTGGGTCAGTTGGCATTTCTGTGTGGAGTTTGCATGTTCTCCAAGTGTTTGCGTGGGTTTCCTTTGGTTGCTCCGGTTTCCCCCATAAATCCAAAGACATGTGTTTTAGGTAAATTGAGTAAGCTAAATTGGTCATAGTGTATGCGTCTGAATAAGTGTGTGTGGATGTTTCCCAGTGAGAGGTTGCAGCTGAAAGGGCATCCACTGCTTAAAACACGTGCTGGATAAGTTGGTGGTTCTATCCGCTGTGGCCACTCCAGATTCATAAAGGGACTAAGCAGAAAAGAAAATGAATGACTGAATGTCAAATATTAAATATTCACACTCTTTTGTAACTATATGACTTCACCAGCAGATGGCAGAAAATATCCACTAACAAACGGTCTGGAAGTCTCTAAGAGTTGTATTTACACAAATAAACAGAGAACAGACAGTTATTCTGGCAGGCATGAATTGGCAAGAAAAAAAGCTTTTCAGGTAAAAGAGCTGCGGTACCTTGGGGGAATTAAGTGGAAGTGCTTTTCTAAGAAACTGAAAAAAAGATGATGATTTCAAAGAAGTTACCAGTGAAACCTTTTGGAACGCAAAATAGGTATAGGGATAGGGGATGGATGCTTTGCACGTTATAAGATAAAAAATGTTATATATATAAATATATATATATATATAAACGTAATATATAAATAATGTTATTCGCACTTGCTGCTATTGCACTCCTTGATAGACCTAAACTGCATTTAGTTGCCTTGTACCCTGTAAAAAAATGCTGGGTTCCACCCAATCGATTTGTGTTGGGACAACATCAAGACAAAAATTTAACTTGTTAGTTTTTACAAATTTAGGCTGATTTAACAAAAATCAATTAAGTTGTCCCCAAAAACATCTTAAGAATTGATTAGTTTCAGCTCATTTTATAGGTATTTTAGGTATTTAATAGGTCGTTTAATCAAGCAGCAAATGTAATGTTTTGAGTGTACATGTGCAATGACAATAAAGTTGAATCTAAGCTAATGTAATATGTAAAAATGTTATATGTAAATAATGTTATATGTAAATATACGTAAAAAAATTAAATCCATGTTTAATACAATAGCTGATATGTTCAGTGTCATATAGAAACAAATTATACACTTAACAACTTTCTCTTTGTTTTTTTATTTATTTTATTTTATTTTATTTTTTTTGGGGGGGGATGAGAGAAAAAAATAGTAGGGGCCAGTTGTCAAAAGGTAAAAGCAGCCAATAACTGTAAAAAACCACAACAAACATATAAAAAGTGTGACACTCATTAAAATGATGCAAGACATTTTCTCAGAACAAACTTCCTTTTTCTTAGTCATTTCTGTATTGCACATTTAACCAACCTGTCAAGGTCATTCTTAGTGCACTGACTGTATAATGTTTCCTTCAGATTTCTTGGCAAAGCACACACAAGTTAGGGTTATTTAATCTGAGAACCAGAAAATGTTCCAAGTTTTTAAAGAGATTATTATTCATATAAATATATATCCTGTATTAATTTATGTAAGATTGTCTCCTTTTTTTGCTGTTTCTTGATATGTTGTTTATAATCATCATTTGTTAAAATTGTGGCTTAAGTGTCTAAATACATTTTAAGGTCTGTGTATATGATCTGAGAGTGAATATTAAAAGGTTGCATGAGGTTTTACACATATGACTAAACCCTGTCACTCAACTTAAATACTAGTTGCAAAACCCATGCAAGTCTTGACTTGAGGAAATTACATACCCAATTCACTTTCAAAAGAAGTACACTTCAAGCTATTTTTGCCAAGTATACTTAAGTACTTTATGTATTAAGTGTACTGATATCAATATACTACTTTTTTAAGTGCGCTTCCTGGGAATAAATTGTTTATCAAAGTATACTTTGAAGTAGGCTGTACTTCAGCCTTAAAGGTGCACATATAAAATAAAAAATAGCCAATTTCTTTAGTGAAACTGTGTTCCTGACAATGATGTGTTTATTTTTACAATAACCTATGGACAAGAAGTCAACCAGGTGCTTATGATGCCTGTTAAAGGGTTAAAAAATAAAAGTATTCACAGCTATGTTTTCAATTGTACTGCAACTATTCTACAATCGAACATAATTTGTAGACTACTAGTTACTAACTCAATGCTTGTAGCTCATTTTTACCTTATGAAAGTACCAAACTCTTATTTAATTTAATGGAAATAACGTTTTAGTTTAAATGCATCAAAATATATTGGTTATATAAACTGAAGAAAATGGATTTAAAATTTATAAAAGTGGGTGTACTCACTTATGCTGAGCACTATATTTAGTATATAGTCAAGTCCAAGTTTTCTTAAATTTTTTTTTACCATAAATGACACCGCTCCCAAAATATAATGAGACGATGTACGAGGCATCATTGTGAAAATAATAATAGAATTGTTTGTTAGAAAAATATAACTTGCAAGTTTATAAAATGAAATGTGAATATTTTCTTTTTACATTTTTCAAATAAAAATAACAAAATCTAAGCATGCTAAATTGAATACTCGATCAAAACACATGAGTAGCCTACAAGTATATAGACAATTAGCCTACTTGTGGAGGCTACTTACACTGTGTGAAATTACGTTAAAGCAACATTGCAATCGTTCATAGTGAAATTTATAAGAGGTATTTGAAGTGTAGTAGGCCAATAATGTTTACAGCCCAATCTACCTTTGCATTGTGTAAATTATGACTCATCTTGAGTAATCTGACATAACACTGGAGGCTTTTATGGTTCGGGCTGGTAAAAGACTCGCATATTGTCTAAGCTTTACGGTAGCATTTTAAAAAGGGGAAATTCAGAAAGCTTCAGCCAGTCGGGAAAGCTGGACGGAGATGAAGTGATGCCTCTACGTCTTTCAGTACACTGAGTAGACTATGTGAAGGGTGGACTGCGGACTGGACGTCCAGAGACCCACGTCCCACGTCCCTCACGTACGACACTGTGTCTGCAGCGTTGTTCACTTCACCAAGTATCCTCGAGAATGGGATTAAATTCTCCGTAACGTGAATATTTTATCTAGCTTTAATCGCGAATCGTGTCGTCTGAACTGTTTGTTGCGGTGTCTGTGTGTGGTTGGCGGCTGCGCTGTAACTTGAAATCGTGAGCAGCGTTATTCGCCAGTCTTGGATATTCAATGAAGCACGCTTGCAGATTCAACATCGCTGCAAGCCTCGGGAGGTCCTGCGTGCTCAGTTGGTCTTAAAGGAGCCGTCAAAGCAGCAGGCAAGGGTAAAATGACTATGTCCGTCCCAGAGAACATATCGGGGTCCGGGGGAAAAGAGGAGGAGAGTGAAGATGAGAGTGAAATCCTGGAGGAAAGCCCCTGCGGCCGCTGGCAGAAACGACGAGAGCAGGTACGTCCCTCGAGGCTAATGTGCATATGAAGAAGCATCGCTGTCATTTTCCTGCACAGACCATGGCTGGATCAGACTAAAACATGCTTTGCACTGTAATTACTAAAACATCTAAAGGGCTCTGCAAATGAAACCACCTAAAATAACGTGCGTGTGGGTGCTTTCGTTACAAACTAGCAATGTTGGTTTTCTGCGCACATGGAGAGTTTACTGTGATTTTGCAGCTGATAAACTGCACACCAAAGACCGCCTGTTATGAAAAGCAACATGTTAATCGACGCACAAATACGTTAACTGCACGTCTTAATGTGTTTTAAACACATTTTACAACATTTTATAAGCGTTACACGTAGTTTACGCGTTATTTTAATGTAAACATTTGAGTTTACGCAAAGCCCCTCCCCCTCCGCGCACGTACATACGCGCAGATCCAGAGTAAAGTTATAAGTTACTATTGTGTTTAGTCGTTTGTGTTTTATGTTGTTTTACCTTTGTATGAGATAAAATGGGCGTGGAAGTGTCAGCCCTCTTCTCTTGGCTTGTGTTGAAGCGTTAAGAGCTCGGATGTCTTGAGATAAGTCACAGATACAGTATACTAAACCTTATCAGCCTTGGCACACGTTCAGTCCATCTTAAAGTACACTGGAATCTTTTAGCTACTTATTTGAACTCAATGGTCGGTTCTAGTCATGTCAGATATGAAACTCTCTGTATTCAAATTAGTGCTAATTAAATAGACAAGTCTGCAAACTGGTTTAATTCAAAGCATACTTGTTTGGCTCAACTAAAGTGCACAATCTGTTTCTGTGAGAGTAATTTTTGTCACAAGTAGACATGGGCCGGTATAAGATTCTGGCAGTATGATAACCTTGGATAAAATTATCATGGTTTCACGGTATTGTGATTACTGATCTAACATATATTCATTTAAAATGGTAAAAACAACAATTTCTTTCCACTTTGAACACAAAATAGTTTATTTTGAGCAACATTTATAATATTTGGAGACAGTAAACATGTCAGGTTAAATGATAAAAATTAATTATAGACTTCTTCCGTCTTCATTTGTTTCAAAAACAGAGATTTCTTTACAATTTAAAACGGCACCTTTGGATATCTTTTCTGCTGGAGAGACTGTTGTCCTAAAACAAACACACACACACAAAAAGTAAATAAAAAAAAAGTCATACACGTGCCTTAGGGACGATATAGCTGAACATTTTGGCGGTTTTAAGACCTTGACTTTTCCAAACCGTGGTATACCCTAAAAACGGTTATCATCCCATGCCTATCACAAGTTCACACTAGAGTACTGAAAGGGTTAGTTCACCCAAAAATGACACCTTTTTTGCTAATTTACTCCCTCAGCTTACTCAATCTATAGTAGACCTTTCTTCAGTAAAACATTTAAGATTACAGCTCAAAGCTTAATCCTTGGTGATTTTGAAAGGCAAATGCAAAAAGTAATTTGCATTTTAGGTGTCAAAATAACCTTTATGGCAGGGGTGCAGATTTGCTCTGACATTGGTTGGGACATAAATCCCTAGGGCGCATGCATTGAACCGCACTCATTCTGTTCCGTGCTTTTAAAAACGGGAATAAAGTACTTAATAAAATAAAATAAACACTTAACAATACAAATAAGCTGCAAAAGTCAATTTACATGATTTTTCTGCCGTCGGGCTTTGAGGAGGTATGAATGTAGAGAAATTTAGAGAGGTGCGTGACACGATTTAACTGTTTCATCCCAATTATTGTTTTTCATTATCAAGGAGGCCAAAATCGAAAACCAAATTCCAATTATTTGCACGTTGGTTAATAGTATTATGGTGAACTCATAGCGAACTTGACTTTGTGCATGTGTAGATTACTAAAGGTTGATGCAGCATTCATTTATTTTGAAGTCGATTAAATATTGGTAGGGACACTTCAGTAATTGGTGGAGACAGGTCCCCTCCGTCCATGCCAATTCTACGCCCTTGCTTTATGGGCTAAACAACATTAATATCTTTAGCTCCTAATGATACATTGAGGCCTTATGAAGCAAAACAATCCGTGTGTACAGTTAATTTTGGATCATATATGTTTTTTGAGTGCCAGAACGGAAGCCGTTGACTTTAAAGCCACTGACCATTTCAAGAAATTTTATGAGGACAGTTTAATTGTTCATATTCATGACACTTCAGATTTATTGTACAACAGCAGCTAATTAAAATTATTAATATTAAACCTGCGGTCAAAGAAACTAATTTGTTGACTGTTTGTGTTTACAGTGTGCTCAAAAGCATGAAACACAATGCATCACTTTTACATGCATATCTGTGAAAGTTTTCCATTTATGTTACAAGCCTTCTCAAGTTTCTCAGAGGTCAGGGCCATGTCTCAAGTGGGAGTGATTTATGTGTTCGTTTTTTCCCTCGCCACTTAATTGTGAAAAGCAATAAAGATGCAAAATTGGATAAATCAGTGGGACAAAGTGGCTAGAGTACAACGAGTGATTATTTCCTGCTTGAATAGCCTGTAAGTGCAAGAATGTTATTAGTATGTGGCTCACACTCCTATTGCATCAGTGTTGTTAATGTTGCCAAAGCGCAAAGAGAAGGGCTGACGTACTTGTACAACAAAAGTGAAAGTTTTGTTTGTGGTGGATATTTACTTTCTTGACACTGACATTTAAATATAGAGGCACGGGGCAGTCGTCACAGCCTTTGTTGTGCAGGTTGATTCAGTTTGTACTTGTGTAAAAAGCAGTAATGTTGGAAGTTTTTAGCGGTAGTTGCAAAACTGTGGCATTATTGTTTGTTTCAACAGTTTCAGCCTTGTGCTGTTTAGGGTTGTCAGACATTTTTATGTGTAAATTGATCTTTATTGCATATAAAAAAGCTGCACAAAAAGTTATACATTCATTTATTTATTTAATTGTCTATTTTTATTCCTTTTTAAGTTTATATGCCTTATTAGTTTACTTTAATTCTTCAGTTTATGATTGTATTTTTCCAAAATGTACTTAAATTTCCATACATGAAATGTTTGTCTGCATTTTCCCAGTTTGTTCCGTCCTCTGTTTTAAGTGCAAAACTTGTAAGGGCACATTTTTTCATGTATTTTGGTCCTGTATTCACATTCAACTATTTTGGAAAGGGGTTCACTCTGCAGTCTAGAAGATAATTGGAAACCGTTTTATTTTCTCCCCCTCACTTTTTTTGTTGAATGACATTCCCGAAGACCGTTTTGAATCGAACCTCAAACCTCTGTTTACAACTCTCACATTTCTGGCTAAGAAATGTATTTTACTAAAATGGTCTCCTTAAATTCCAACTATTTCCATGTGGATATCTCAGTCAGTCTTTCTTCCTTAGGAAAAAAAATAATGTATGACCTCAACCACAAACAGGACAAATTCAGGAGACTTTGGGAACCTCTCTAATCCTTTCAGCACAAGCTCTTACATTTTTTAATCAGCATCTTGAACTAATGGTATTAGATTAAATTGGCCCTCAAAAGAAATATGTGTAATACCAGTTACATCGCTTGACATTTCAACTTAAAATTAATTTTGACAGGCATTATCAAAATGTATACCTATACCTATGTAAGCACATGGCCTTGGTGGGAATTTTTGAAATGTAATTTATAAAGATAACACAAATTATTATAATAACAATCAATTATCAGTGTATTCTTGCGGTCTTACCATTGACATGCATACCTAAGAATAGCTGACCATACCCTAAAGAGGTCATAGTATCTCACATTTTAAAGAGAGTTAATAGCCTTTGCACGGAGCAGCTAGTCTCATCAAGGGTCCTTCTCTGTGAAACAGTTTCCTGTCTCACAGCCTTCTGCACGATATTAACAAAATGGCTCAATAAATGGTGGTTACACCATCTTGGCCATTCAGGAAAATGAGGTAACAGGCATAATTAATTTCCCAATTAGTTATACTAATTAGAACAATTGTGGTACATTTACCTTTTATTATTAAATATGTCTAATGTAAAATTATCCCAAACTAGCTAATATGTTTCATTGAGAATCTCACATTTTTAAACAAGATAAACTATTTGGTACCAATTGTTTTGGTTACACCACATTGTCATTCTTGAAATAATACCCTAAAAATATCTCAAAATGGAAAATAAAATAAAATAAAATAGATTTGGTCCTTAAAAAAGAGAATGTAAAAAAAAGTATTTGCTTATTTATTTTGAAACTGTAGCCTTTTTAAGTTGATTTAAGCGTTATGTCATTTTTTTTGTTCTGTTAAACAGATAAATTTGTTTTAATTGGCAGTGCTCGGGGATTGTTTGTTCGTTTGTCTGATTGTTTGTGTTGTTTGTACTATTTGAAAATCCTTAATAAAAAAAACAGTTCTTTAGAATAGGTTAATAGATAAGATATTTTTGATAAAAGATCACAAATATCAAATACTACATCAATTTAGGGTGTTTACACACATTTTTTAAAATTAAAACCTGAAATGTTTTTGAACATTTGTGTAACTGTTGTTTCAAAGATTTAAACCCATTTTTAAAATGTAAACTTTATACGCCATTACCATTTTCACATCATTATTAACTAAAAAATCATTTTTTTCCACAATAACCTAAACTCCAGTGAATGACACCAGGACCATCTTTTTACTCCCCCACCACACCACATCACACCACACAACAACCTCAAAACATTATGCAGTTCTGATTGTGCCTCAGACTGGTGAGTGGGCTTGACTGTAGAAAACACACTCTTTATCTATCTGACACAATTTAACAAACTCTTGCACCAGTTTTGTACATTTACACCAGACACCTTATTACAATCGCTCCATGTCTAAAAAAAAAAAAAATTGCGTTTACAAAGTGTGCTTCACACAGATGAGTGGGTTTGACAAACCACCTGTTGAAACTTTTCTCTATGCAAAAAAACCCTCCCCTCCTTAAGGCTGATTTATACTTCTGCGTCAAATGTCGGCGTATGCTACGGCGCTGACACATAGCCCT